ATGAGATGCATTACCTTTGAATAAGGAGTCTGAGAGTTCTCTGCAGTGTCGCAGTGTATGCCCGTTGTATGTTCCTCGGTTTCTGTCTCTCAACGGTGGGAAGATTTCCCCTGAAGTTGTGTAGTGAAAAGTTAAGAAAGCTTAATTTCCAGAAGGTGACAGAGTTAATCCAGAGGCCTGTGAAGCACTCTGGGTGTATGAGAGAGAAAACTCTAGTGCTCCCTGAGCTATATGAGATGCAGGGTGTGCAGAGGACCTGGTCTGGCCTGGAGGTGGGAGTCCCAACCTCTCCCCTACCACAATTAACTCTAGGCTGAGTCAGCTTCTATACAGAGACTTCTCAGACTGTTTTGTTCCCTTAATACAGGAAGGAGGAATCAAGGGGAGCAAAGAGAGAACGGGCCTTATTTCTGCTAGGTCACAGAGGAAGAACGATTTTGAAGACATGCCTGGGAGTGAACTAATCAAGACTAATCAATTGTGGTGGACGTGGCTCCTCTTTTATTTTATTTTATTTTTTTTTAATTTTTTTTTCAACGTTTATTTATTTTTGGGACAGAGAGAGACAGAGCATGAACGGGGGAGGGGCAGAGAGAGAGGGAGACACAGAATCGGAAGCAGGCTCCAGGCTCTGAGCCATCAGCCCAGAGCCTGACGCGGGGCTCGAACTCCCGGACCGCGAGATCGTGACCTGGCTGAAGTCGGACGCTTAACCGACTGCGCCACCCAGGCGCCCCCCTCCTCTTTTATTTTAGATAACAAGCACTTGTTTGCCTAACACTTCACGTATTTAAAAAAAAATTTTTTTTAGCATTTATTCATCTTTGAGAGACAAGAGTGTGAGCGGGGGAGGGGCAGAGAGAGAGGGAGACACAGAATCAGAAGCAGGTTCCAGGCTCCAAGCTGTCAGCATAGAGCCCGACGCGGGGCTCGAACTCACAAACCACGAGATCGTGATCTGAGCTGAAGTCAGCCGCTCAGCCGACCGAGCCACCCAGGCACCCCACTTCATGTATATTTTTAAAATCCTCACCATAATCTTCCGAGGTAGGTATTATTATTATTTCCCACTTCACAGGTAAACAAACTGTAGCTCAGAAAGCTTAACCAAGTTGCCCAATCTTGTACAGCTTGTTAAATGGTGGAATTAAGATTGGAATTGAGATAGTTCAACTCCACTCTATATTATTTCTCCAGGAAAGCTGATCCCTGAACTTTTTCTAGGCTCCAGACTCGCATCTTGGGCCAGGACCTGTAGCCCTGGAGTTGCAGCCTCTCTGCAGAGTGTTTTTCAACTCAGGAAATGGTGGTAGATGAAGGGTAAGAACAAAGAATGAGACACAAATTTCTGCTCTTCTAGCCCAGGACTGTTGAGATCAGGGTGCTTGGGACAGGGGTTGTGACCATTGGAGGGTCAGTAAAAGATTTTCCTTATCTACCTTTTGTATTCCATCGCCTAGAGATAGTCCAAGGAAAGAATGCAAGGAGTCTGTAGGCTGTTGAAAGAACTGGGCAAAAGACACTCCTTCACCCCACTCCATACCCTCTAGTTCCTATGTGATTGTTGACCAGGTGCTCGGACTGATCTGTCTAAACTTCTCCCTCCCAGTGGCTCAACCCAAGTTACAACCTTGTGTTTCTGGTCTGTTGAGAGGTATCAAGCTAGCCAAGGACCCTGGTTATGGAATACTTGCCCCTTCCTTGTTAATTTTACTTTTTCTAGCTCTTTTCTCCCTCTAGATCATTTTCTTGCTGTCTTCTCTCAGACCTTCATATACCAGATTGGACCTAATGAATAAATGATACTAAGAACCGGATCTCCTCTAATGACTGCACGTGTAATTAAAAGGCACATGAGAAGAGCACGGGCAAGGAAGACCCCAAATCTACCCAGTTAAGTGGAGAAGCAGCTGAGCCAGTACCCAAGGAAGTGTACTTAAAGGAGCCTACATGCAGAAAATGTCCTGAGGTAAGGTAGAAAATGTGTGTAAAAGGCAAAAGAAAGTCGAAGTGCAGCCTTTTGTGCTCTAAGGGAAGGATGAGTTTCCTGTGAGTGAACAGCTAGCTGCCTTCCTTCCTCATATTTTGCTGCGCTGTTCCATACGGTTGTCACTAGTCACACGGAGCTAATTACATTTAAATTAATTAAACAAAAATAAAAATTCAGCTCATCAATCACACCACCACATTTCAGAGCTCAGTTGCCATACGTGGCTAATGGTTACCATTTTAGTGGGCATATAGAACATTTCCATCATCACAGAAAAGTTCTATTGGGCAGTTTGAATTTGAGGCATTAGGAGAAGATGCATAGGTTCTGGTTGTTTGAGAATCAGATCTCTAACAGACCTCAGGTGTCAGTTATCTACCCTCTCCCGGTTCTCCCCTTCTCATTTCTTGTCCCATTAGACAGGCTGTTTACACAAACAGCCAGGCTTTCTCTCCATCTCTCCCTCCTGCCCTCTGGCCGGCTCTTGTCCTTGCTCCACCCCACCAGTCCCTGGAAAACAAGCTGCACGAAAAACTTCCATCAACTTTGACCTAGTTTCCTGGTCAAATTCAGGGAATAAGGGAGGAGACGCCAAACTCTTGAAAAGGTGAGAAAAGGAGGCAGCCCAGGTAAGAGTGAAGGAGAGAGTCACCATGGCAACAGGGAGCCAGAGGCTGACACCTTGGGAAAGAGAAACAGCCAGAAGAGAGAAGAGCTCCTGAAAATAAAAGACTGATGAAGGAAGATTGAAGTGGGAAGGAATCTTTTCAGTCTTTTTCTTTTTTTTCAACGTTTATTTACTTTTGGGACAGAGAGACAGAGCATGAACGGGGGAGGGGCAGAGAGAGAGGGAGACACAGAATCAGAAACAGCTCCAGGCTCTGAGCCATCAGCCCAGAGCCTGACGCGGGGCTCGAACTCCCGGACCACGAGATCATGACCTGGCTGAAATCGGATGCTTAACCGACTGCGCCACCCAGGCACCCCTTTTCAGTCTTTTTCAATTCACACTGATTTCATTAACTTCCAGGAGTCTGAGGTCTGTAATTAGCATGTGGAAGTCCGCAGAAAAGTCACCCCCCAAATTCCTAGATAAGGACCAGATCTGTCTGCAAAGGTTTAAGCCAGAAACCAGGCAAGTACGTTGACTTCTGAGGTTTCAGGGTTCTCATACCCATCACCCCTTTAAGAATAAAAATCATTTCAATTAGAGGCGGACTTGTGGTATCTACTGTAAGAAATAGGAACTGCAGAAGCATATCCTAAGGGATGAGGGAGGGGTTAAATACTCAGCAAACATCTGAGTTATGATTATGTGTTTCTTCTATAGGAACTGTGCTAGAAGCAGCAGAGACAAAAGATGGTAGCTGCCTTCAACCAATACTCAGAAGTCTAGATCCTTAAGTCCTGAATGATTATCATCTTGTAACTTACTATATATGAACCAGGTTTAGCTGAGAAGAAACTTCAGCATGAGACCAAATTATAAAATAGGGAACCATAACCCTTTCCTTTCAGGTCTCTCACCGATCTTATTTATTTTGAGAGCTAATTTTATTTTTTAAAAGATGTTAATTTCTACACCCAATGTGGGACTCAAACTCACGACCCTGAGCCTCATACTCTGCCAATTGAACCAGCCAGGTGCCCCAAAAGCTCATTAAAAAACATTTTAAAAAAATCTTTAAGGGGCGCCTGGGTGGCTCAGTCGGTTGGGCGGCCGACTTCGGCTCAGGTCATGATCTCGCGGTCTGTGAGTTCGAGCCCCGCGTTGGGCTCTGTGCTGACAGCTCAGAGCCTGGTGCCTCTTTCCGATTCTGTGTCTCCCTCTCTCTGACCCTCCCCCATTCATGCTCTGTCTATCTCAAAAATAAATAAACGTTAAAAAAAATTAAAAAAAAAAAAACCTTTAAGTATCTTCAAGTAAGTCCCAACATGGGACATGAGCTCATGATCCCAGATCACCCTCCACCAACTGAGCCACCCAGGTGCCCCTGAAGAGCTCAT